AAATGAATAAAAGTGAAGTTCAGTTAGATTTCCATGATGATCTACTGATGACAGAAAGGACTTTAAAACAATATTTGATGGAGCTCCAGACCAATCAGCCCCAAGGAGCAAAGAAGAAGAAAAGTAACTCCATGTTGGTCAGATGGATGTTTAAAAGTTCAGAGAGAGAAAAATAAAGATTTTGAACTAAACTCACACCTTTCAGGATTTAATAAAAATATAAATGTAGTACTTTGTTCTCCACCAGGGGGCGACATCTGGAAAATTATCAAATGAATGAGAGGAATCCTTGAAATTCCTTGTTTTCCAGAGGAAATGGAGAATTGCAGTGAATGATGAGGAAAAAGTAGAACTGTGCTCTGTTGACCGTGGTAGAAATTAAAAACAATATCCCATTATTTATAAGACCTTTTAAGGTTCAGCTCCAAGAAAAGACTAATGTGTTTAGGTTTTCAGTAGTTGGGAAAGCTTTTGGGATTGTTCAATAAAGTTTGGAAAAATTCACAACATTTTCCCAACAGGGACAAGGACTCCAATCTCTGATATCTTTTTTTTTAAGATAAAAACATTAAAATCACCAAAACAGTGAGAAAGAGAAAGACATTTTGAAACAGATTAAAAAAAGATAAAAACATTAAAACCAGCACCCCTTTGAGGACTTCAGTTAAATGTCATTTAACTGGGGCTCTAACCCTCTGGGACTTTAGTCAAAAACACTGTTTGACAAGGACTCCAACCTCTAGGTTTTTAGTTGAAACGCCGTCAACTGGGACTCTAAACCCTGTAGAAATTTAGTTAAACGTTGTTTAACTGGGCCGTTTTCATCATTAAACCAGAAACAGTGAGAAAGAGAAATAAAAAGAAATTAATAAATAGATAAAAACATTAAAAGCATCAAATACATCAAAACCTGCACTCTAACCCTAATTTAGCCATAAGCAACTCTAAACAGGTGGGTTATAAATTGAGATTTAAAGGCACCCAGTGTTTCAGCTGTTTTACAGTTTTCTGGAAGTTTGTTCCAAATCTGTGGTGCATAGAAACTGAGGGCTGCTTCTCCTCGTTTGGTTCTGGTTCTGGATGCAGAGCAGAACCAGAAGATCTGAGGGGTCTAGACGGTTGGTACAGCAATAACAGATGTTTAATGTATTGTGGTGCTAAACTATTCAATGATTTATAAACTAACAACAGTATTTTAAAGTCTATTCTTTGAGCTACAGGGAGCCAGTGTAGGGACTTTAAAACTGGTGTTATGTGCTCTATCTTCCTGGTTCTAGTGAGAACGCGAGCAGCAGCGTTCTGGATCAGCTGCAGCTGTTTGATTGATTTATTAGTCAGACCTGTGAAGACGCTGTTGCAGTAATCAATGCGGCTAAAGATAAAGGCATGGATGACATTAAGGCCCGATTGATGAACACGCACATCCACTGACCTGAAAACAGATTTTCTTCTTTGGTTTCAATGTAGAGGATTTAATTATCCTGTATTATAATTGTAAAAAATAAAGGTAAGGTTCACAGATTTCGCTTATCGCGGGTTATTTTCGGAACCCATCCCCCGCGAAAAACAAGGGATCACTGTACTTCTAAAGTAGAGGGATGATATCAGCCCATCAGATGGTTTAGAAGAGGGAGAGGAAGCATCATGGACTGCAGTGTGTCAGGCTGGGTGGTGGTAAGGTGAGGAGAAGACGCTGGGACCCAGGATGTAGATGAAGTAATGGTTTTAATAAAGATAACTCGACAGTCCAGAACAGGCAGCACGGCAGAGTCAGCAACAGCTAACACCGGTAGCAACAGATAAACGGACTGATACGCGAGCTAACACAATCCAGGACTAATGCAGTTCCACTGGAGAGTGTGGCAGGACAAACTTAGACGTTTGACAACAATAGACAAGGACCCGACGAGGAACACAGACAACAGGTGGGTTTAAATACACATGGGGTAATTAAGGGAATGAGACACACCTGGGAAACAATCAACGGGGAAGACGCAGAGACAGACTCACGGAACAGGACTACACAGAAAAACTCAAAAATAAACACACAGAAACACGGATCGTGACACAGAGGTCCTTCACCTGATCCTGGTTGTTGGGACAAGAACTTTGTTACTGAACTTAAGGACAATTTTCATGGATTTGCAAGTAGATTTAATCCTGGCTACTTTTACTCCACTACATTTTACAGTATCTGTACTTTCTACTTTTCTACATTTCTATAAAGCGTTGCGTTACACATTACATCCAAGTCGCATGGAGCTTCTTTGATTTGTTGGTTAGTTTGAAAGTAATCAGTGATTCTGGTGCCGCCTTTGCCTCCTGTTAGCATGAACTGCTAGCTTTAAAAATTCACCGTCTGTAAAAACATATCGAGGTAAGTTAAGCTGCTAAACACTGTCTGAGTTTTGGGTGTGAAATTGATTCAGGTTAGAGAAGTTTTATGTAATCTTACTGTAGCCGCTACCATCCGACTCATCTGTTGCATGTACTCTGCGTTGTGTGTGTAGGTAAAGAAAGAAACCAACAGTCGAGGACCCACGGTGTGTTGTAGCAGAAAGGCAGGTTTATTCTGTTCAAAATAAAAATGCATTTAGCACAGCAGTTCCCGGGCTCCGGCCTCCCCACACAGACCATAACCAACCAAAAGAACAAAGATAACCACATTTGCATGGTAAACTTGATAATTGTCTTTAATGTGGGAATTAAATACCCAATAGTGTGCTGCGCTACACATAAAACAATTTAACAACAAAATATAACAAGTTGTGAGCTTAGTGAACATACTTTTAAGAACATTTCGAATATTTTAACACATAAACAGAAGACAACTTTATACGCTTACCTCTCCCCAGCGCAGCTCGGCGCCGAACTGAGGAGATCATCGGGAACACACAGGAAATGACACAAACAGGAAGCAAGAAAATAAAAGCGTCACCACCAAAATAAAATACAATTCAGAAAAGAAAAACAAATATACATATATAGTGAGAATGGATTTGAGGTGAAATCTACACTTTTTTTACAGACTTGCTACATCACCAGCTTCTTGTTTAAATCGACTATAATAAATAAACACATTAAATAGCTGTAAGCTAGCATGAACTGGCAGTAGCATTGGTTACTGCGGTCGGAGCGCGTGGAGCGCAGCGTCTCCTGCCATGAATGTCCCAGTAACGTTAAACTCCTCCACATCCGGGTTACTGAATTAATGCCAATAATCTCCATCTCATATTTACATTTACAGTCATATTCAATAAATTAGAATATGGTTCCCATGAGGCTCGTTTGTCAGATTTAAAACAACTTCAGCAGATATTAAACATATTTTTCTTCAGACCCTCATTTCTGCATTAAGGTTTTTTATTGGTCTGTAATCTGATCAGAAATGTCATGTTTTCATGAGTTGTAAGCAACAAATCATCATTAACAAATCAAAGCCTTAAAACAGTTTGTGGGGAATTAATCTGCATGATGTGTGAGCTGAGTTACTGAAATACTTTTCATAAATATTCTAATTTATTGAAAATAACTGTAGTTAAGGACTGATAGAGTGACGCAGGTCATCCTGAGATTCTGATGCATAGAATCACAAATCTAGATCTAAACTGTCATAGAGAGAAACACAATAAAACATGATTTATCTGCAGCATTGTTCAATAAATGGCTCATTACTGATGTATTAAAATTAATGTGAATGTTTTTACCATCCAGACCTTTAGAACCAGTTCAGGTCAATAATTCAGTTGTTTCTGTGGAAGATTAACAGATTTGATGTGAAATGATGAAATTCTTCATTTCTCTCTGATGTTCCAGCTGATCTGTAGAAAATGGAGCTGCAGCTCTCAGATATTTCAGTCGTCATGTTTTCTACCAATGAATCCTCTGATTAAAGCAGGAATCTCATCTCCATGTTCTCCTCCAGAGGTTCCCAAGGTTTGTTCCTGGAAGCTGCTGCTGGTTCCTCCAATCCAGGCTCCGCCCCCTTTACAGGAAATATGTCCATATATGGAGCTAAGAGTCACCTTGATGCTGCAAAGCTTTGTTCAGGATGAGATGTCAGGATGTTGGTGTCAGTCTGTTCCAGGCTTTAGTTGTTCTCCTCATGAGGAGCTGAAGTCTCTGACAGGAACGTGGAGCTGAACAGGAGAAGAACTTGAAGCTTCTTCTTCTTCTGTCTGATTGCAGCAGCAGGACAATCCAACATTTTAGTCTGACTTCATCTGGAAATGTTTCTTTGACCTGAATCAGTTTGAAGGCAGGCCAGCTCCTCATCAGAGCTGAGATCTTCTCTGTCCTCCATGCTGGAAATGTACAAGTCCAGCAGCTCCTGGTCAGTGACATCAGACCGTGACATCATCAGTAGAATGATGATGTCATTCTGAGAGGAAAGATGCAAACAAAGACTCTCTGGACTTACTGCAGCTGCTGGATTCAGGAAGCTGCTTCTTCTTCTTGGTCTCATTGTAAATGTGAGTGTTGGATTCACTCCTCCAATTCCACTAGGGGGCTCTATAGTTGTTTTGTGTTGGTACGTGAATTAATGTGTAGAAGAAGAAAATGAACGGTGGACCAGTAGTGTACTACATAGACATTAATACTATGCTGCCGTTAGCTTAAACCAGTGCTTCTCAATTCCAGTCCTCAGCGCCCCCCTGCTCTGCATGTTTTAGATGTGCCTCTACTCCAGAACAGCTGATTCAAATGATTGCATGACCTTCAAGTACTGCAGAGGCCTGTTAATCACCAAAATATTGAATCCAGGTGTGTGACAGAAGGGAAACATCTAAAACATGCAGGGCAGGGGGGCGTTAGGACCGGTCCATTTCTCACAAGACCGGTTAAACTGTAAAAAACGTAAAAAAACGTTTAATATAACTTACCACGTTGGGCAACACTCATAAACATTAGTAAGATGTGATTTTATGGCAGGTTCGGCCTTTTAGTTTAAGCCAGTGTTTCTCAATTCAGGTCTTGTAAGCACTCGGCAATAAAATTAACTACAACGGCTACCTTATGTTCTTTGTAACAGTGTATAGCGCCACCTGGTGGTGCTGGTTGGTAGAGGAAGTGCTGAAAGGTTGGAGGTGTTTGTCAGAGGTGTGTGATGATGGAAGCCTCTCCCTGGTTTGTGAGTCTGAGCTCAGAGATCAGATGTTTGGTTCTTGTTGAACTCTTTGTTGAATGTGATGCAGCTTCTCCTTTTTAATGTTTGTATTTCTGGATATTCCAGTGAGGCCACAGCAG